GGGCGAGCGGCGGGGCGGCGGGAGGGCGGCGGGAGGAGAAGCAGCCGCGGGTTTCGCGCTCCCTGCGCGGGGCAGGTACGTGTATCACAGCTCGCAGTGGATGGTGGCCGGGAACACGGACCACTCGTGCATCGCGCCGCGGCTCTACGTGCACCCGGACTCGCCGTGCTCCGGGGAGACCTGGATGCGGCAGGTCATCAGCTTCGACCGCGTCAAGCTCACCAACAACGAGATGGACGACAAGGGCCACGTAGGTGCGGGCGCCGGGGGCTGGCGGGGCTCGGCCGGGACCCGCTGCCCGGCTCACGCCCCGCTGGCCCCGCAGATCATCCTGCAGTCCATGCACAAGTACAAGCCCCGCGTGCACGTGATCGTGCAGGACGCCCGCTTCGACCTGTCGCAGATCCAGTCTCTGCCGGCGGAAGGCGTGAAAACCTTCTCGTTCAAGGAAACCGAGTTCACCACAGTCACGGCCTATCAGAACCAGCAGGTAAGAAGAGGCGGCCCGGGGCCGGGGCCAGCCGCCCTCTTCTCCGCCTGCCTTCACACTAGCCCTGCTAACTGCCTCTTCCTGCCAGGGAGATAGAGATCTGTGGGAGAGTCATGCTAGCCCTGAAGGTCCAGAGGCAAGAGTTTCTTAGCATATGAAACTTTTTATTGGAGCCACCCTGTAGTTGGGATGAAGCCAGACATGCTTTCTGATGCCAGCCATTCTCTGAATCCTGTGAGGGGCGGCTGGGCAGTGTCACTGGGTGCTCACTGCCACAAGGGTTGTGTCTTGAACCACCCCTGCCAGGTGACTTCACCTTTTGGGGCCTGGCTTGCAGCTTCCCGCAGTTATGCCAAGGAGTTACACGGCCTGGATGGTCCTTCACAGCAAATGGTGCTGAGTAACATCCCCAAACTTTTATAGTCAAAAGGATTGCAAAAAATAAAATAAGTAAAACAAAACCATACCAGATAAGAGCAATAGAAGGGAAAAACATCCTTGCTTGACTGAGGTAAATCCTAATAAAAGCACATTGCTTTGAACTACTTATAGAGGTAGATATTTATAGTAGAAACAACTGCCTGTTCGGGGCAAATCTTGCTGTCCATCTCCACTGAAGTCAACCAGAACTATTTTTGTGATCCCGGAAAGCAGACTTAAATTTAAACTTAAATATAATTCACCATAACAGTCAGCAGAAGGAGGGACAATTATATGTCTGTTCTATAATTTTAATTCTGCTTGCACACAGTTTTTCTCATTCACTACCGTTATTCTTTATCTTGTAACTTTTCAATTCATAGATTACGAAACTGAAAATAGACAGGAATCCCTTTGCCAAAGGATTCAGAGACCCTGGAAGAAACAGGTAAATATTATAAGATCTCAGCCACAATCTGTAGTTACTTGTTTTTGTATAGACACGACGCTGGTTCAATTTCTTATTCCTTTTAGTATTAGATGGTTTTAATTTTAGACTGAGGTAACTTCGTTAACTCTTGGCATATAAAGAAAAATTGAGAAGACTGCAAGACAGATTACAGAGAATATTTTACTGAACGCTGTCTAGTACAGCAGTAAGGCAAAACATCCATAGATGCAATTCTGCACAATAGCTTTTTCCGTCAAGTCACTGATTTCTAAGGTTTACTTTATAGGGGTGTGTTGGATGGACTTTTGGAAACGTACCCGTGGAGACCACCGCTTACTCTGGATTTTAAGACTTTTGGTGCAGAAAGCCAGGGTGAGTTCTGAATCTTCAAATAGCTAATAAAGAGTAAGCAAAACCCATAAGCATAACACCAAACTCTTCTGAGCACTGTGCATGCATGAGAGAGTGCGACATTTGCATGAATGCCAGTGTGGGAGATGGCCGCATGACAGAGGGATTCTAACTCAGACTCAATGACTAAATAGAGATTTTAGCCTTTCATCAATGTATATGTTGAATAACAAATACCTACTGGGTTTTTTCTTTGAGTGAGACAATATTTTTACATTAACTGTTTAGTATTTTACAGTCAGATGATACAGAAGAATAAATAAAAATGTAAGAGAACTGCAATGAGCTCTTCATGGGACACTGTAGTACTGTTTCCATGAGGCTTCACGTAGGTGCAAAAGTCCACCCACGTGGGGCTCACTGAAGGATCACTGGCCCTTTTTTCTCTCAGACAGTTATAACCATTTAATATGCTTGAGTTAATGTCCCGTTGATGGCTGATGGTAGGAAGACAGAGCTTAGCCATAATAGAAACTGTCCTTGCTGGTACAGGACAGCCTGAGCACCACTCTGTACAGTGGGAAGTTTGGATTCTTAGTTTAAATGATAAAGCCAGTTAATGAGTTTTTTTGGTTGTAAGTAATGTGCTTTTAGAGTTGCCTATACACTTCCAGTAGTGCATATGGTAAATCTTAAACTATAAATACCCTCAATTAAATATTATTTTATGAGATAAAATTAGTACACACCACATATAACATTCCCTGGATCTAGTTCTACGTACCTTTTGTAAAAAAACTGCCTGCTTAAGTCAATTTAAGGCATATTAAAATTTTCCCTATTGATATTTTAATAATGCTTTAATGTACATTAATACCACATAGCAAAAATTGATAGTAGTTAAATAGGACCTTCCAATGTGTATGGAAAAATATCTGTTCAGGTATTTTGGGGGATAGATATAATAAGATTTTTACCTTGTAATACTGTTACCTTGATAAATTAATTTTTTTTTACCACCCTAGAGAATTTTCTATAAATAAAAGTAATGATATATATTCAGATTTTCTATAAGCTTGCCTGCCCTTTTCCTTAAAAAAAATCAAGTATTTAAACAGTAGAAGGAATGAGAGTACTTAGAAAGTAACAATCATGATGCATTAACTGCTGCAAAGTGTTAAGTAGGTGTTACAAGGTTTTTCAAATAAAAATCATTTTTACTTTTAAAACAAATAGTATTTTCACTGAAAAAAACATTTATTTGGATCTCCATTTTCATATTCAAACCAAATTATCTATTGGAAGCATTGCTTGAAAAATTACTCATAGTGCTGGATGAAAAACTGGAAATCTTACATCGGAAAATTCCTTTTTAAAGCTATGATTGCCAATGTAATGGAATCTTTTACATTATGAAAAAATGTAGGCTTTTCTCTTGTGTCATACACACCCCAGCCTCTCTGAAAATGGGACTATTTCTTATTTTATAAGATCAAAAACACAAGATGCATAGGTATAAAGGCCTATGCACATAAACATAAATTTAATGATGCTATGAAGTTGTTTTTAGTCTGGATTTAAGATGGCTACAAGTGCCCTATACAAAAGATAACTGTTCAAACCTATCTGGAAGTTGGCAAGTCCCAGAGGAGATGTCTTACTGGGCAGAGTGAAGCCATGATGATCAAAGGTGGATAATGAATGTGGTTTATCACACAGTGATCACAGGATTAAAGAGAAGTAGTTAGTTAGCTGTGTTAGTCTGAAGTCGGGAAGAAGACATAATAGAGTTACATGTTATCGACTAACTAAACCAGAGATGCATAAGCTTTCGTGAGCATCTGATGAAGTGAGTTTGGGCTTTCAAAAATTTATGCATCTCTGATTTAGTTAGTCTGTAATATGCAGCTCTGCCCTGCCTTCTGCCTGATCACAAGGTTGCTAGCACCTTTTATTTTCTTTGCTAGTTTATCCTACTAGTGTTTCTTATAAAGCCCAGTTTCCTGGACTTATGTAAGAATTTCAGGTCTCATTACATAAAAGTAAATTTCTAGACCTCATGACTATGGAGAAAAGCCGGGAACCATAAATTAGAGACTCAGAGAACATGAAGGCAAATTAAAAGATATTATGACTATTATAGATAGTTTAAAAAAAGACCATGCTATGCACTTGCTGGTTTTGATACCAAATAAAATACAAAAAAATATTTTCTTCATTTTTAAAAATTACTCATTCTACAAAACAAAGGAACAAAACCAGAGCTATATTGGGAATCTTACAATATACAATATTAGGGACATTTTTAAATGGAAAACAAATATTCTATGTACTGCCCCTTAGCTAGTGGCATAGGATCTACTTGTATAAAGTTAGATAAATAACTTTGCCTCCACACATATGGGCTTGCATCACTTAACCTGACCCCAAAGCCCTTTAATAGCAATGGCAATTAGGAACATGCATATCCAGAGAAGGATAGATCCCTGCCCTGCTGCCCTGCTTCTGCTCCCAATTAAGTCAATATTAAAACAGCAATTGATATCTATGGGGAAAGGATGACACCCTTAATGTGCTAAATATCAATCTGCAGTATTTCTACAAACAAGCACCTGTGGTGCAAGATGATACTCAGTAATTTTAAGAACCAGATTAGTTTCTACATTTCATTGTTTCTTATACCTTTGTAGTATGAACACCTTTGATATACCGACAGATATAATTATATAAAGAATTCCATATGGAACATTACACACAAAGCCTGATTAGCTAATGCTAAGAGTCTATTACTTTGTATTATCATGTGAATGTAACAGAAATCCTAAACGCATCACAACCATTTTACAAATTTGGCAAAATGTAGCCAAAAATCACAATTTTTTCCTTTCTAAGATAGCCACAAAGCATATAAATAAACTAAAAGAAACACACTCAGTCTATCAATTGTTGATACAGAACTCTGCTAAAGTATCCATAAAGGAAGAATAGGACTCTTAAAAGGAGTGAGATTAGTAAAACAGTGTCAGTTTAGTAACAGGAATGCACATCCCTCTGGTACATTCCACTCTCAGGGCAACCAGCACTTCTTAGTTCTTACTCTTGATGTCACTTAGCAGGGGCAGAAAATGCATGCTCAATGTTGGTGTTACACATTAGTAATACGTTAAGCAGTTGAACATATAAAATAAGCTGTATTGCAACACTTATAATAACAATCATACATTTTGAGTGTATTTCTAATACAGTTAGGAAAGTATTTATTCATTCATTTAAAAAACCCAGCAAATTGAAAAGTAAAATGTAAAGCTGTTTGGGAGAGACTGATTGAATTCAAGTATATTTTTAATATTTTTCAAGCTGTGTGGAAAGCGAAATAAAGTGAGTATATTCCTGTGACAATAGGCAAATTCTACATGAATACTGAATAAAAGACAGACATTCTCATTTAAATATGCAAGGAAAATATCTTAAAGTCACAAGGAAACAGAACAGCTAAATATTACACTGCCTTTATAACCAAGACAAGGTAATCAATTGTATATGAAGGTAGTAATTCAGCAAAGTGTTTAAAGCTGTGTGTAAGTTTAAGAATATGAGTAGTGCCAGTTACATATATGGGATTACTCACATATATATAACTACTTTGCTGAGCTAGGGCCACAACAAAACAACAACAAATATGATTTCTTTATTGGCATATCATGCCATGCTTGCAGAGCTCCTTTTGGCATCAACATGTATTTGAATGAAAAATAACAGAAGGATAGCTTGAGGGGAGTGGGTCTGGTTTTCATCCTAATTTCTTATTCATAACCATACAACAACATAATTTTGATGACTTTTTTGCTTTTATTTCTAGGTGGGAGCTCTGGTTCTTCCCCTGTCACCTCCAGCGGTGGGACACCATCACCTCTGAACTCCTTGCTTTCTCCATCTTGCTCACCTCCCACATTTCACCTGTCCGCAAGCAACATTGGAATGTCGTGCCCTGAAACCTACCTACACAATCTCAACTTGCCTCTTTACTACAAGATTTGTCCTTCAAGCCTTTTGAGACAACAGTCACTTCTATTTCCAAGCCAGGAAAAACTGGGAGGCACCAATCCACACATCTTACCCCACTTCATGGTGGATGTGCCCATGTTGTCTTCCCTTGGCATAACAAATCTGAAAAATGGTAAATCTGAAGACTTGAGTGGGCAATGTCTACAAGTACCCAATTCTGCCAGTCAAATGTTGTATGGATTACATGCACCTGGAAACATTTTCCCATCAAGTCCCATTGCCCGGGAAGCACTTAATTGTTCTTTACATCCTCCATACGGCTTGTATGGTTATAACTTTTCTATGCCATCTAGACTGATGAATGCGGCCAGCCATTTCAAAGTGAATGATAGCATTCCAACCTCTTTTAGAGATGGCAGATGTAATCACTCCAACTGGCACTCAACAATTAACCATTGCCTTTAATGGGACTATATAACCATTTCTAACACAAAGACCTGGTAGCACGTCTTTTCTTCATTCTTACTCAAAGGTTTGCTGATTATTGAATATAAAGTGCTTCACAATTCAGGAGTGACCTGTCTAGAGATCAAACTTTTCATGCACAAACGTGTCATAATGTTCTGAATGTGGATGACAGTGAGATAACCAGCAACAGTGACAATTTTCCCGGAGAATAATTTATGTAATGTAGGATAGGAGCAAACTGTACATTCATTCTCTTAATATTTGCACTCTAAAGTAGGACTGAATAAATATATAGTTTTTCAAATATTATTTTCATGAAAGTCTTCTTCAAATTCTCTTTCATTTACCTTGAAGAAAAGGGCGAATTTCTGCTCGCCTGACTCATTTAATGGATTTTAATTGGATTACACAAGGCTTTTAGCAAGCCATGCATATTAGACGAAGTGTTTGAACATATTCTTAAGGCATTCACCTTAATGCATCCTATTTAAAGCTAAGCAAGTGCTTTCCTGATTCAGGGCCTGAATGATTCAGATTAGCAGGGTTTGGTCACAAGTCTAAATGACTTATGCTGAAGGAAAGAAAGATAAAGACCAAATGTTAGATCAGAGGTTGGAAAAGGGAGTCTGCTGACATAGGGCCACGAAGAGCCTTCTTCTACCTGTGCCTGTACCAAAATGGGCATGGAGGGGACGATGGGCCATGCTTTTCTTCACCTTGGTTGCCTGGTCTTTTGTAAGAGGTCAGGAAGCAGAGCTTAGGTTTGTAGGAAGTGTGAGGTGAAATGTCTCCACTGAAGCAACTGCTGGGTCTATTCCTCTGTGTTAAGAGCATGTCAGAGTGTAATGGTTGCCACACTGAATCAGACCTCCTGTCCCCTAGATAAGTATGCTGTTTGAAAGTGGCCAGTACCAAATGCTTTGAAAAGGCAAACTCTACAGTAGGCACATGAGATGTCCATGGAGACAGAACATCTCATATTGCCCCCTAAAAGTGACAAACTTTGAAGTAGGAGGTATTAAATTTCTTCCAAAATATGTATCATTGATTATTATAACCCATGGAGAGGCTTATTTTCCATGAACATCACCTTTGGCTTGCAAACTCACAATATAACACTAACAAGATTCTGAAATAGGAGGAATGATTTTGTTCTTTATTTGATCAAAGATCAGTCCCTACCTGAAGTCAGTTTGAAAACTTGGTATATAGTGGATTTTATATATGTAGAAAATAATTGATAGGGATTGATCAAATCATGGCATTAAGAAAGGCTGAGAGAAAGAATAATAACTTTACAAACATAAAAATGACATTGCTTTGGAATTAAAAATGGATACAAGAATTTTAAAAAATCAGCCAAATTCTATTTCGAATTTCACGCACAAATAGAACAAAACAAATTATGTCAAAAGCTGTTTAAATAAACATAGTTTATCTGAAATAGTTATTGATTTCCTGAGTTTACTGGGTTTGACCTCTTCGCTCACATCCTATTCACGTCAATAAGAAGTAAATGCCCAGGACATATATTAACTCTACCTTAACATTAAAACAGTGTGTAAGATCATTAAAAAAGGACACCTGATTTTTAATGTTTTTATTAGCAATGACACTAATTATTTTTGTTAAGGTGAGACATTGCACACAATATTTATAATAAGGTGTTTTACTAATCCCTTGCCACCCACAATAGGCTGCCTAATTCATGTGAGTAATTCTGCTGAAGAAACAGGGCCCAGTTCTAAACACTGGTGTAACAAAATTCAGAAACTTGCCTCATGAAGATGGCTTGCAAGTAAAGGAAGGAAAGAATTGGCCTGTAATCTTGAATATATTCTTGCAGGAGAGGGAAGTCTCTTCCAAGTCAGTTATTTCTTTATGAAAAATGTAAAAGGTAAAACCTACATTTCACAAAAAACAGTTGTGATTAAATAAAGCATTACAAGCATACTGGATAGGACATCATAATCTAAACAAAGCCAGTATTTGTCCACTTAAAAGATCTTACTGAAAATCTCAGCTAGACATTTTCATCATGGAAGACTGTATGTAATACTATCACTACTTTTAATCAAGCAACATATTATTTTTATCTTAACCTGAGTAAATACATCATTTGCCAAAATCCATTTTGTTTTCCATTCACAGGACATTTTTAAAACAGACTCTGATTTTCTCAGCTGTTTTTATTATTTGATTTTTTTTCTCCATGCTTTTGCCTATGCTATGGCAATTTGAAATGAGAAACTTAACATTTGAGTAGTATTGTTTAGTTATTGTTAGCTCATGTAAGTCACATGATGATTTTTTTTGATTAGATGTGCTAAATTCAGGGTCCTGGTGGGAATATTCACAGAAATTTGAAGTCAAGTTTCTGCAAACCCTTGAGCGGACAAGCTTCACATTTGTGTTTCTTGAGCATGCCGGGAAAACTCAGTCATGTTTCATAGAGAGCCAATAAGGAATGCAGACAGCTTGGACTCAAATGATTTTTAATGAATATTTGCTGAGCATTTTTACTGTTTTTATGCAACTTTAATTTTTAACTTTATGCGATTGTGAAATTGCTGACAAACTTTTAGTGTTTGTCACATACTTCCAATAAATTGAAATATATATTACAGGCTGGCAGCTTCAAGTATGAACCAAATCCTGCTCAGATTTACTTAGAGTAACTTCAGTGAGACAGCATATAGAATTCAGCCTACAGAGTGATATTCAGTACAACAAGCTAAATTCTATTTTTAATTGCAAATGCTGGACTCCACTTAATTTCCCTCTAGTGTCCAAATTTCGTGGCAAATGGAGATGTATTAGATGCATAAAGGATAATAATATACTTTATGGAAAGGCAGGTAATATAAATATGAGATTTTAGAAAATAAAATTATATGAATTGATTTTACCTTCATGATTTGTTATCTCCCTAGCCTCCTAGTTATCTCCTAATTTTATAATGTCATAAATCAAGAACTTAACTGTAAAGCAAATGGATCATATTAATGAAATCCATGTTATTAGTTCATATCTGTAAAACAACGTCTTTTTTATAGAAGTTCTCTGTCTATTACTCATTTAAAGGTGAATAATACTGAATTCTACTAGGAACTTAAATGGTAGCAGACTCGTACCTATTTAGAGTCACGAGACCTCATAACGGGGAGTGGAACGTTCTGTGCAGTCCACTTGCTGTGGTCTTGGTGCCAGCTGTAGAAAGTCTGATCTGACTTTCAGTGTGGGGAATGGCAATTGGCCCATTGACTTCAGTGAGTGGGCTTGAATGTTGCTAGGTCACTAGGCCTTAGTGCAAGGAACCTATATAACCAGGACAGCCTTATCCAAAAAGGAAGCACACTTTGAATGGAAGTGTCTAGAGAATATTATGCACTTTATACATTTTACAGATGAAAGTGAGTTTCAGAGTTCTGTGCCTAAGAGCACCTGTTGAAATAATTAAAATCTACATAAAATAGAAATTATATCCCTGCTATGTAGTTTTAAATATAGTTTGCTATTGCCACTGTTACACTAAAAATTTAGGTGCATGTCTGCAGAACTTAGCTCTTCACATGGTCTAATGATCAATCAGGACAATACGGACAAGGGACTGAATACTTTGCTATATTACAATGACAGAACCTGGGGAAATTCCTATTCTGACCCTCACACTTCAGGCATTGTGAAGGCTGAGAGGTTTTCTTTAAACCTAGGAGTTATCACTACTTCAGAACTGTAGCTGGGTATTTCTGCCCTGGTGGCCAAAGTTTGGTTAACCATTTTAGGTTTGGTTTTCTTCTCCCTTCAACAACAGTTCTACACTGTTAGCATGACTGAAAATACTTTTGATTTATAGTAGTGTAGGCAAGAGGAAAACCAAATCCATTGGTTTTAGAAAATATAGCTTAACATTCCCATTTTACTGAATAGCTCCAAAGCAATTTTATTTATATTCCATTTTTTCCCTAGTTCCATAATGTTTCTTTGGCCAGTTTATGATAATAACCAGTTTGGGAATTCTGTCACCATTTTGCGGTGGCTAGTGAAGTTCATTGATACTGCGGATAATGGGCTTATACCATGTGCAGAATAACAATGGGAAAAGGATGTGATTATGAACCGTTAGAGGACTGGATCGCATTTCCCAGTCTGTGGAGCTCATGAAGTTCAGAAACCTACAATCTCAAGTGCACTTTGTACAACTAGACACATTGTGGAGATGAGAAGGCTTCTAAGTTTTGGCAGATTTTCAGAGTATAAGACCAAGTGCCTTTGTAACAGTCATTATGAGATTTGTGTTAGAAGCTTTTAAACAGGTATATGTAGGTTTGTTTAGGATAGATAAGCTGTACCCAAATTAATCAGTGACTCTCAGTACTTTGTTAAAATATGCAAGGGAGAAAAATGAAAGATCGTATGTCCATAAAATGTATACATACTTCCAAATTTTGCACACCACAATTCAGTTGGTTACTATTTTTAAATAAGAAGGGGGAGAAAATCTTTCAGTTTCTACAAAGCTTAAACTTGTTCAGTAATTTCAGCAATTAATCAACTTACATAAGAGAAGTAGACTTATGTTCACATTTACAGTACTCAGAAAATGAAGCTGAAAATACTGCCGCAATGTGTGTGTACTCCACTTTGGAATATGCTACATTTGTGTTTAGAAACCTACTTTTCAATGAGACAAAATAACAATTGTGTTTTTGAATCTGACTGCAGTTTGCCAGTTGGTTTCACTGGAATTTAATCTGTTTATTGGAGAAGTTTAAAAGAAGCCAAATGCATAGATGGATCATTGGTGGTAGTTGCTTTGATATAAGTGCCTTAGCATATATTTAATTTTCTGAGGTTTGGTCTGTAATTAGATGATATAATTTGCATCAAAATAATGTAAACAAACCTGGATTGGATGGCAATATAAAACAGAACAAACAAGTATATAGAATATTTGAAACATATCCAGTATTAAAACTATTTACATGTGTGGTTTGGGCCACTACAGACATGCTGTTCCAATAAACTCATAGAAAGAGAAAAAAGTGAGTATCACTTCCTACCAAAGTTTCAAATGTTCATGTTTACAAATTTGTACTGCACATTAATATGTAAACATCCATTATTGAGAACAGATGGATATGCAATATTTACATGTTCTTTCTTGTTAGTTTTACAGTATATGTATATATACACATATACATATACAGGTTTTGACTCGTAAAGCACCTGAAATATGTACCGACTATTTAAAAACATGGCTGCAAAACCAGCCAAATTATACCACATTAAATTGTGTTATTTTCAAA